CAAATAAAGCTTTAGAAATTTTATTGCCCTTTGTAACATCTTACTTATGTGAAACTGGGTTTTCTGCAGTAGCTGTCTTAAAGACAAAGTATCGATCTTGCTTAAAGATTGAAAAGGAACTGAGAACCGCGATATCTTCAATGATACCACGGTTTGACAAAATTTGTGCTGAAAAACAAGCTCACCCTTCACATTAAATTTTTATAATGTTGTATTAATGTTGAATTCTATTTTTTGTACTTTTGTAAGATTTGTTTTTATTACATTATATTATTATTTCTTAAAATAGATAATTATTTTTTATGTATTTTTATACATAATATTGTATATTATTTTGTAGCCCATTAAATAAATTACAATATCAGATAAGTGTTTATGAGATTGGATTGTTAGAAAAATTAAGGGGGGCACAAAATTTTTTTTTCCAAAGAGGGGGGCGCAGGTACAAAAAGTTTGGAAAGAACTGCTTTAAATAGTTATCATAAAAAGTAGTATATTATAAAAACACTTACCTAAAACATAAAAACTTTCATATTCGCTGCAAACTACTCACCTTATTCCTTATTTCTGTTGCATTCCCTAACACAGATTGAAAAAACAAATTTTACCTGATACTATTACGACGAAATATTCTCAATCGTTGCAACAGTTTTTAAAGTTCAACCTTATTCTCAGCAAAACTTAAAAGCTTACGAACAGATCCGGGCATTTCATAAAATAAATCGAATGCAACTTGACAAGTGTTTCTTGCTTACCAAAGTCTTTATAAAATCTTAACTTCACTTGCAAGAAAATTAAAAATTTAATTTGAGAAAATTACTTAATAAAATTACCTAAAATTAATAGTAGTATTAATTTATTACAATACATTTTTAATTATTTTTTATGGATATTTTTGAAACCTCCTTGCACATTTCTTTTATAAAATCTATGTATTTTCTTTACAATTCTTTTATGAAATATTTGCATTTTCTTTACATTTTCGTTAAAAAAAAACATTACTTTCGTTAAAAAAACATTACTTAGAAATAAACTAGAAATAAATTATTATTCTAAGAAATACTTTTCTTTTAATTTTTAAAAACATTATCAAACGCAAATTATTTTCTGACAAAAAGCTTGTTGGTATTTATTTTTATTAAAAAAATTCATAAATAATAAATTTATTTTTATTAAGAAAAAACTATGGCAAATTGATTCCCCCGAGTAAAAACTTTATAAAACCCTTATAGAAACTTCATATCTTGCCTTAAGACCACACCAAGTATGATTTCCCTACACCACAAAGTCATCTTTTATTAACATTTTATTAAGATTACGGCGATAATCTTAATAAAACCCTTTTCGAACATGCATATTGCCATATCTGAAAATTTGTGTGTGTTTTTCTTTACTCTTTTATATTTCTTTTCTTTTCTTTACTCTTTTATATTTCTTTAAAATTAAAATTCATGTAAAGATTTCGTAATGATATTTTTAATTGGCAATATTGACCCTTTAATTAATAGATCTGGTTTAGTTTAATGGTCTATAAAATATAAATATTTCATCAAAACTGTTATTTCTTATTTAATTCATCGATATTAAATTATATTCCTTTAACAAACTCGATAGAACATTTCCTTCAATTTTTTAAAAATTTAAAAAAAAGGATTAATATAAGGCTTCTTGCTATTTTTTTGTTTTCACTTGAGATTGAAACCACTATTAGCAAAAGTATATTATTCTACAAAATCATTCTAAATTACAAATTAAATAACATCAAATGTGTTATATTTATACCAATTCATATATCTTTGATTGATACTTAAATGGTGATAGTGTGGTGATAGTAGTCCACACATGCCCCATCATCATGTGTCGACTCTAGCTCTTCAAAGAGACCTGTTTGTTTATGCTTAATGCTAATTAATTGAAACTATACGGGGCAGAAATTGATATAAAAATAGGTAAGAAACCGAATAATTTAAATCATATTTTCACCTTTTCATTGTCTAAGAATTTTCTTGCATTGTCTAATTATATTGTCTAAGTATTTAAGAATTCACTGAATTGTCTAAGAATTTAAGAATTCTCAGTCAGAAAATAAAGTATGTTCAAAAGAGAATGAAGGAAAAATTTGAAGGTTATTTTTAAACCTTAAAAACCTTCCTTTAAAAATTCCTACTTAAGTATTTACAGTGTGATTATGCAGCTACAACTAGAAGTGAACATCATTGTTTTGCAATTATGATATCTCACAGAAAAATCTGTCGGATTAAGAAAAAAGTTATTCAAGATGTCCCCCCTCACCCATACACAGTTTTGGATAATAGTATTGATGAAAATAAACTTTATCTTTCATATCAACATTAGTTTTGCTGTTTTTATAAGGATTTTCAGACATATGGACAATATTTTTTAGTTTAAATATGTGGCCTGGTTTGCTATGACCATAATAGTGATAACAGAATTTTTTCCTCCTTCAACTAAATATGTCATTCATAGGAACTCAGTTATTCATTTATTATATGATCTCCTTACATATAAAATAATTTTTATTTTCATTACTTATTTTTATTCATTTTCTTCAGTTTCATTTTCTAAATTTTTCTCACAATTTATCTTTTTTTTAAAATTTGCCAGGAAAGTTCTAAGTACAGAACTCCTAAGTCACATAAAAATAAGCACCAGGCATGTTTAGAAAATAGTTTAAGCGAATTAATATACAGTGGTGTCCAAAAGTGTGGACATTTTTTGAAAGTTTCATGTTTTTCAACTTTATGTGCTTGTAGAATATATTAATTTTCACTTAAATACAAACGGTTTTATATCAAGTTGAAGGTAATTTAATTTAAAATTTAATAATAAATACAGTATTACAATATCTGTGTTACAAAAAAAGTTATGCAACTAATAGTAAGATCCATCTTAGATTTGCATTTCTTTAATGTGATACTTACACAATCAATACTTAGTAGGATAACCCTTATTTTTTAAAACAGCTTCACAGCGTCTTTTCATCGAGTGAGCGAGTGTTTGGAGTTCATCCTTCGTAATCACTTGGTGCCAAGAATCAATTATAGCTTCTATAAGTTGTCTTTTATTGGATGGACGTTTTTTTCCTGCAAGAATTTTCAAACGTCTCACAAATTTTCAATTGGATTGAGACCAGGGCTGTTTCCTGGCCATGGTAATATATCTATGCCTTTATTTTGAAAGCATGCTTTGCATACTTTTGCTGTGTGGCATGGAGCTGAATCCTGCTGAAAAATAAACGGTGCGTCGTTGGGGAAGAGATTCCTGATGGAAGGTATCAATTTTGGTTTCAGGACAGTTTCGATGTATTTTTGGGCATTCAGGATGCCATCAATCACTTGAATTCGGCCCACACCATCTGCAGATATACATGCCCAAATCATGACATTTGTTGGATTTTTAGTAGTTGCTTCAATGCAATCAGGATGAAGCGCTTCACCTACTCTACGTCTCACGTATTTTCTACCATCACTTCCAAAGAGCGATATTTTACTCTCATCACTCCAGATTACTTGCTTCCATTGATTTTCTGACCATTTAATGTGTTCTTTTGCCCACTTAACTCGTTTTTCGCGTTGCTTTTGATTTAAATATGGTTTTTTTCCTTGGAATTCTAGCTTGTAGTCCAAATCCTGATAACCTTCCTCCTATTGTTCTTGAACTTACTACAATACCAGCTGCATTCATTTCACATCTAATGGCATCTGATGAAATTTTTCTATCTTGAAGGCATAGCCGTTTAATTTTTCTATCGACAGTAGCACTTGTGCATTTTTTTCGACCTGATTTGGCTTTATTTTCCACTGATTTACTGGATTATTTTCCACTGATAACAAGTCACTGAACCACCAACTTGTCTTGCAATTTCAACATAAAAGAGACCATTTTCTCTCAATATGACAAATCGGCTTCTTTTTGAAAATGTCCAATTAGTTCTTCTTGTTGATGACATTGTTTAAAATTAGTTTAATTAAAAGAAGGGCTTTAAATATTAAAAAAAACAGCAATACTCTATTTAATTGTAATAGCATGCATCATTCCGCAAAATATTTCCACAACAATAACTCTTTCACCATCTAAATGATAGTTGCAAACATTTGATTGGTCCTAAGAACATTGTTAGTGATTGGCTAGTACGCTTTTACTACAAAACACGTCCTTATTCAAAACGATTTGTGTTTGTTTGTTCTACTAAAATGAACATAGCTTTTTTTGTAATACAGATATATTAATTCTATTTCTGTTGTTAAATTCTACATTAAATTACCTGCAATTTGTTATATAAACGTTTGTATTTAAGTGAAAATTAACATATTCTACAAGCACACAAAGTTGAAAAACATGAAACTTTCAAAAAATGTCCACACTTTTGGTCACCACTGTATATGTAAGCAAGCTGAGCCGCAATGGCACAGGGCTTAAGTAACTGAACTGTTATCGTAAAGATATAAAATTCTATATCCGATGTGGCATGAAACCAACTCAGTTGCAGAATGATGGTTGTCAACTTGTCTGAGAAGCGTCTGGTGGGCAAAGCTTATCACATTACTACCAGACTTACCATTGATTTCGAAATTATGGAGATTATATCTCCAGGACTCCACTGATCGTCAACTGGCTCTGCTTTATTCATATAAGCCAACTAGCGAGTTTAAAATATAACGAAGTTAAAGGAAATGATTTATCAAGGCTTGAAGCCAACTCAGCTGCAGAATGATGGTTGTCAGCTTGTCATTTTCTGGTGGGCAGCGCTGATCACATTGCTACCAGTCCTGCCATTGGTTTCGAAATTATGGAGACTATATCTCCAGGATTCCACTGATCGTCAACTGGCTCTGCTTTATTCATTTAAGTCAACTAGCAGATTTAAAATATAAAGAAACTAAAGAAAATGATTTATGATGGTTTGAAGCCAACTCAGCAGCAGATTGATGGTTGCCAGCTAATCTCTGATGTAAAAGGCACCCGGTGGGCAATGCCAATCACACTGCTACCAGACTCGCTATTGGTTTCGAAACTATGGATACTATATCTCCAGGAACCCAGTGATCGACTACTGGCTTTGCTTCATTCATTTTAGTCAACTAACGGGTTTAAAATATAAAGAAGTTGAAGGAAATGATTTATGAAGCTATTTTTGGATAGCGCATATACGTAAATATAAATTGAAAAGCGTCGTTCTTATTCTCCCAAATGACCTTAAAGTAACATTATTTTAAAAGAAGAAAAACAATATAAAAATTTTATTTTTCCTTGAAGCCCGATATGCATAGTGAAAAAGTATCAAGTGAATAATACTTCTAAATTAGAAGAAACTTAAGAAAACAATTTTTAAGACTCACTAAAAGAGGTAAAAAATGAAAGAAAGAAAAACAAAAGTGTTAGAAAAATCTGTTTCTAAATTTATTAGTTTATATATTTGATACTTGTCTATCTTTTTTTTCTTATTTTATTCTTAATTCCGAGAACCTTCGTGCTACAAGTATAACCCTAACAGAATGTAGTTCAGAAATCAATAAAATGTCATGAAAGTATTTTAACAAATCAATAAAATATGTCATCCGACAGACACTGGCATTAAAAAAAATCTGAAACACACTACCAAAAAAAAAATCTATATCTAATCATTATTTTGAATGGTAGCAAACACAATGGGTTAATTGTGTTAATGCATTATTTTTCCCTAAATTTTTCAATGCACAAAAGCCATCGAATTTTATAAATACAAGTATGAAATGTAGAAACAATTTTCTAAATTAGGCAGTTTACAAAACTAAGTTCCCTAATAAGTGATGCTTTATTAGTTAACCCACATTACTATCACAGAGAGCTTAATATTTGCTTGTTCACAGCAGCCCTACTACTAAATGTTCATAATTGTCTATGAGTCGTAAATTTCATAAAATCATCATGAAATTTCATGAAAAAGTAATCGAATTTTATAAATGGAAGTATGAAATGTATAAACATTTTTTGCCAAAATTAAACAGCAGCCCTACTACTAAAAGTTCATAATTTTCTATGAGTAGTAAATTTCCTGAGTTCGCTAAAACTTAATACTGGGAAATTAAAAAGACTAATCAAAAGTGACTATTAAAGTTTTTAAAAGCATAATCATTTGTAGTTTGATGTATCCTATTATTGCAAATAATTTTTAAAAACAGTTCAAAGCAATAGTTAAAAACCAAAATAAAAATTTACTTCATCCAAAAACTAATTTTTATTTTGAAACTTCAAAATATTTTAAACCTCAAGAATAAAGTTTGTTCTTATGCTATTGCATATGAAAGTATAAAAAGTTTTTCCTATGTGAGAAAATTTTCATAAAACTATTGATAGAAAAATGGTAAATATATTCCAGCTGTCCATCTTTGAACAATGTCCAGACATAACTTTGAAGCTTTGTAATTATGAAAATTATTTTCGGCAAATACAGTATTTTACTTACAATATTACATCACATTATTTTAGTAATATGAGCACATTGTAACATTCAAATTTTGTTGCTTAATTTTATAAATTGGAAAGGAAAAGCTTTATGTAAGAGGGTACTAACATAAAAGCACGACAATGATTATAATTTAAATGGAGTGCGAATATTTTGAGAAACGTAATATTTTGTATCTTCCAACGTCCCGTTAAATTGTTCTTGGCATACTTTAAGGTCTTTTCTAACAGCGTAATAATATTTCGTGCTTCTGAATCTTTAGAGAGAACTTATTCTCGTTCTATAACAAAAGTAAAGGACATAAAAAAGAACAATATCAATGTTGACTTACTTTCGCTATGAGTTCTCCAACCATGCCATTCCAACCAACAGGAGATCTAGAATCTAGTCCGCCATAGTTAGAATCATTAACAAGTTTGAGCACGTAGCTGAACTTTAAGTATTCGGCAATCAAGTCGGCTAGATCTTTGCAGTATCCTTCGAAACTTTCATTGCCTTCAAGAGGGATTCCTGAATCACTTTTCTTCTTCATTAAATACGGTTCCTCCTACAACAAGCAATGACTATCACTTAATTTAACACGTCTTTTAACTCTTCTATATCACTCCTTAAGAGCTATTTCTATTTAACCAATGAAACTTAAAATTTCTTTTTGTTCCATCTGAATATATTTTAAAGAAAAATTGTCTAGGCACCGAATATTGTTCTTTTCATAATGCGTGCATTTATTCAGGACTCGACTTGAATAAAATGAGTCCCAATATCACTTCCATGTTACTTCCATTTTTTTTTCTTGAAAGCAATATTTACGTGGTGTTTCGTAGTAGATGCCCTTAATGTATGCTTTCAGAACTCTTATCAAAATAAAAACAAAAGAGAAATATTGGAGAGAGAAAATTAACGAAATAGAAAATAAGAATAATAACTCAAGCACAGCTATATTTACAATGTGACCTTGAAAACTTGATAATTATTTGAATAATTATAATTAAGATGAAGGTGTTGTATCAGACATTACTGTCTTAGATACCCTGATATTTTAGCATATAACTTATAAGAAAGTGTAATTTTTTGTAAAATTAATGACCATTCAGAAACTAACGAAGTTTCACACTATTAATAATGCTGTAAATAAAATAATTTAAATGGAAATGTTATTTCTAATGCCACTTGCCAATATCAGCATGCCCTAATTGGTGAAATAAAGTGAATTTAAGACAGAGGGTGCATTTCTTGAACATTAGTGGCTCCATCTATGGCCAAAAATACGACTTCTGTCACATGCTCTTCATAACCCGAGCATACAGCTATTTATTCATCGAAATTTTGATCTGAACGAACAATCTTCAAATCAGTAACACCAGAGGTATAATTTTTGGGGGGAACAAGGAGGACTGTGTGACCCATTTACAACATAGGAAGCATTCGGCTGGTGGGGACATTCCATGAAAATTCAGAAATATTCAGAGTTGTAGCTACAATAGAAATAGAAATAAGAAGAATTTCTTTCCACAATAAAAAGAATCTTTGAAAAATAAATGAATTTTGTTAAATATTATAGCTGACTGTGGTTAACTACAATCTCTCTGTGAGATTATGGTTCGAGTGATGAAGTCTTATAAGAAAATCACCCAGCATATTTCCTAATATTCAATCAACAGTCCTTTAAAATTCTTTTTCTGCTGTTTATTGATTCAAATGTTTTTGCAACTTTTGCATTCGTTGGAGGATCAAGTAAGACTATCAATAAACTACCGGTTTTTTTATCTATACCATGTATGATAGTAATTTCCTTAATGAAAAGCAGTGATGTGGAAAAATTGATTTTTTTATTTCACACTTTCATGAGAAATAATATTACTCGCTAAAGTAGGGTGCGCAGATATTTTAATTAAGCGTGAATAATTTCATAATGAAGTTTCGGAAACTTCCTTATAACAGAAGAAAGTAAAATATTGCATTAGTAAAAGAATGTCACTTAAATTGCGTAGAGAAGTCTCCTGATCTTCAAAGTTTTTCAAGCTTCATTTATTCCTTTCTGATCTATTAAATAAAAAGAACAATTTGATACAACGGGTAAAACTTTACCGTCGGAAAAATTAACTCTAAATATTTTGAATATGAGAAACGCTTCATTAATGCTAATTTATATTCCCGAAATTTCAATGTTAATGGAAATTAATTAATTTTAAGACTTAACCTTAAATATGTTAGTTTGCAATATAATGATCAAGCCATAAATACTTTGTGCGTTTTCCAAATCTTTAAAACTGTTATAACAAACTTAGCTCTGCAAAAGAAAATTCGATTAAAAAAAAGTATAAATTATAGTCTTTTAAAATGTTGAACATTTAAACATATTATCAAAAGGTTGTCAGGAAAGTATTTCATTAATTAGTTAGATTTTATTTTTTTATTATTTGCTCTTCATCAGCGTACTTTTTTATGCTAAAATAATTTTTTTAATAAAAGAAGTTTATCATACTCGTAAGGGGTCCCAAAGGTTTGGGCCTCATAATTTCATAACCAAATGCATAATCGTGGCTTTGTGGTCACCATTGCGCTCAAAATCCCTTTCCGGACAAGGTTGCACCAATTGGTCTGCATCTGGGTGGGTTAACAGTCATGGCTGGGGATCGAACCCTAGACCTTCAGAATGACAGTTCAGTGTTCAAACCACTAAGTCATTGTGGCTCAAATAGTTTCAAAACTTTGGCATTTATTCTCTATACGATACAGTTTTCAAACTGGCATTTAAACCGTAATAAATTTATTTTAGTATAATTTAATTCATCACCAGTGTTGAGCAATTGTTCAGCATGTAATTGTTTTACGCTTAATTCTGTAATTTTAAATCTAACCCGAATTTAAGTAATCAAAATTTTTTTAACTGAAACTAATAAGTTTTTACCCTGCGTAGAAAGAGAATGAAGTTCATAGTTTATTAAGAAGTTCATAATGAAGTTCATTTGGGAATTTGACAGCCACGATAACCTAGAATTGATAAACTGATTAAATTGATAAACTGGTTATATTGGTTATTCAATTTTCTTTACTAATTGATGTATGTTTTTAGTATGAAAATGATGTATGTTTTTAGTTGTAAAAAAATATTTTTGTTTCTAGAAGATTTACACATTTTTGTCAGTAGTGTTAAATGTTTTTTTTTAATATTTAACTTCTATTCTCCTCGGTTTTGTCTGAATTCATAATAATATTCTGTTTGTGCTATGGGTGTGTTGGATTAACAAACTAATTTTGTTTTAAGAAATATTGTATATATGCATCCTGAATTTATGATTTTTGCTTTATAGTAAAAGTAACTTTACTGATTTTCTTTTCTGTATCCTATATTACTTTAAATCCTTTCCAGTGTCGCCCGAATCCAGTTTGGTCAACTACTACGTGCATTATTTGTGATGTGGGCTTTGGGATGTACCACACTGTGAAAGATTTGTAACATTTTTGTATTCAAAATCATATTTTTGTGTTTTTTGTATGATATTATACTAGTAATATTTTATTTAGCTTCAAAATTTTGTTTAATATGCTCTAATTGAATAATATGTGTGTATAATCCATTACTTTTTATGTCTATGTAAAATTATAAATGCAGTAGTTATTGCATTTAAAATTTTATTTTTGTAATTAAAAACCATTTTATAATAATATAAAGAACAAAATTAAAGAGTCAAAATAATTTTCCATTTTTGGTCTATTTTTCTGAAATCTATTTCACTGTTAAGGGGTTAATTATAAATTGAAGTTAAACTGAATAACAAACATGGATATTTAGTTATTTAAAAGAGCATGCTAGGTATTTCATTACACCAGGAACTCTTCTCGGGTTTTGTGTATTAAAACACTTAATGTTCACCATTTTTGGTGTTCATAGAAGAGAAAATTTGTTACTCTTCTACTTTTAAGAAATAATTGAGAAGAAATTGAAAATTAGAAATTATACTATAAGCTCAAAACTATCTCCTTTTTATAATTATAATTATAAAAACAGCATCGACGAGAAAAAAATGCGAAAGTTTCGCACTGAAATGCCGACTATGTACTAAATGTCTTTTTATTTAAAAAAAAAGAGGTTTCTGAGAAAAAAAATTGTGTGCTTTCTGTGACAATCATGTTTAAAAATTCTTTTACAATTATTTAAAAAATGTTTTTTTTTAACTCGCACAGAAGTTGTAAGTAATATTTTTTTCGAAATTCGGCTTAAAAATACAAGAAACAAGTTTTATATTTATATTTTTAGTATTATTTTTAATAAAAAGAAGTGAACGATTATTAATTACACCCGAGAACGGATAAACAAAAGTTATCCGGTCTCTAATGTCCAGTCAATAGCTTTACAACTTATACAATAGAAAAGAAATTTTATTTTTTTAAATTTTTAAGCTATGTGTTTAATATATTACTTTTTCTCCGGAAGGTAATAGTTTTTATCAAAGTATGTTAAAGAAGCGTTTGTATCACTCCCTTATAGAGTTATTTTGAAATACAAAATAAAACAAATAAATAAATAAAATTCTTTTAAGTCTTGAAAAAAAAATAGAAACTTTTTTTAAATTATTTATTTTATTTTGTTTTTACTTTATTTTTTTAAAGAAAAGCTGAGAAGCTTAAGAGTAAATTACCTTAAAGCCATTTACCATGAAAACAATAAATCGCAAAATACAATAATTGGGGAAAATAATCTGGAAAAATGCAATTCAATATACTTTATTCATTAAATAGGCTCAAAGCTATAAGTAGAATTTTTAATAAAACTTAAAATTATAATTAACGTTTTACTATAAAACTTACCAGAATACTTGTGACTATATATGTTTTGTTTTCAAAAATAACGTGAGTTTCAGGAACTCTTTTTCGCATTGGAGGCACCATTATTAATCTATGTCTATCTGACCACTCAGCAATCTGAAAAGAATTTGTCGAACAATAAAATTATTCCTTTTAAACAAAATTGTAATTTATTGCTGAATGAAAAAAATGAACCAGCAAAAATTTATTATTATTCCATGTCTACTTGATCACTCAGCTATCTGAAAAGAATTTGTCGGACAATAAAATTATTCATTTCAAATGAAACTATAGTTTATTATCAAATGAAAAATCAATCAGTAAAAATTTATTTCATAAAATATCATTAAAAAATTTGTCGAGAAATTCTTTAACACTACATTGCCCAAGTCAGTCATTTTGACTACCTTTTGATTTCAATTAGAAAAACAATGATGACACAATTTCTTAGAAATTTGAGACTTTTTGCACAGCATGTAATTTTTTACCGTCAATATTTACTAATAACTTGCTATATAACTGAAAATAATATCAAAAATATTAAAAATTAATTTTAAACAAATTTCTTTATACATTAGTTATTCTTTCACAATGCAGTCATCTGGACTGCTTTTGGGCAATATAGGTGTTTCAGTCTTTCTAGTGTTAAAAAGTGTTAGTTAGATAAAAGACTAAAGATTCTTAGGTTAAAACTAAGTTCCGTCGATTACAGTATAGTATCTAGTAATTAAATATCATAAGGGCTACCGGTTTTTTAATTCTCAACTTCCTTAATATAAATTTTTGAAAACCTTTTGGAAAGAAAATCTTTCAATAGACACGCCAGAGTTCTCAGATCCATATTTAGGAGAAAAAAATAAAAACGCTATCAAAATCTGATGAATCACTATTGGGGCTGGTGAAAAGGGAACAAAGCTAGATTGATTGTCTGAACAAACGTGAAGGTAAATCTAATTATCCCGTTTCACTTTCTCTCACCTGTTTTCAATAGTGCGTGTGTTTTATGTGTTTTACTTTCACCTTCCTTGTTAATGATTTGACAGGTTTCGATAATGCTTAAATATTAATTTCAGTCTTCTAGTTTGAACATTTTTCTGACTAATTAATTATAATGTGTATATTTCCCTAACTTTTATGTTTCTTTTTGATACGGTTTCCATGTTATAGGATGTAATTACATAACACTGTGTGATTTCAAAGTACTTAATTCAATTTAATGAAATTGTATTTTTTGAATTCTAGAGCTAAAAATACATTTTAAATTCTGAAAGAAAGCATATATGTTGAGTATTTGATTGTATTTATTAACTTGATACTGTAGATACATAATTGATATGTTAATTTCTTTAATTTTAAGAATATTTTAAGCCATTTAATTCCTTGCATTATAGTTTTTAAAGTAACTGATGATTGATTCTATCAACTAATGTGTTGATTGTTTGATTGAAGAAATTTAATTTCATAGATAAGAAACAAACAAATAATTTGTTAATTTACGCTTACAAAAAAGTACTGATAATCTGCAAAATAACTGATATTTACACAACAGCGGAAACATATATACGAAGTAACTCACATTGGTATTTAAATAATAGTTTATGTAAAATTCTTTGCTTAAACTAACTGAGATATAAACTTACATTGTTGCGCAAGCAGATTTTTTTTTGTTGATAAAAATAACACAGTTTAAATAGTGGATGGAGATGAAAACCAAGATATTTGGAATAATTTTAATGTTGGAAATGGGTTCATAATAAATTTATTGGTTGAAATATATTGTATTGTTTTGCCTAATTAAATTTTTTTTATTGATTTTCGATAAAATATTTTAAATTTAGTTGATTGTAGCACCATTCAGTTAGGTATAATATTTGTCTGCAAATTCAAATAAAGTAATTACACGTAGTGAAGAAAATATATTATAACTATAAATATATTCTATAAACATCATTGTCAGATATTTCCTTAGAGTTTCAATAAATTTTCAAATCAAAATCTTGGGCATTCTAAATTTAATGCATTAGTACGAGGTCAATTAGTTGTTAAATTGTAACTACGCAAATATTTTCCTTGCCAAAAATAAAAAAAAGAAGTATTTCGAATGCATCTCAGATTTTCTCTTAGATCTAAGCCATCATTAAATGGTACAGGTTGTTACATTGAAATTTTACTTCCACCAAAAATTACCTTGATGAAATAAAAACAAATAAATAAGTAAAATAAAACTTTATACTGCCTAAATTAGAAAGCAAAATACTTTGTAAATTAATTGACTGTTCAAGATGTTAAGACTCCTGAATGAAAACCCCCAGAGGTGTTATGGGAGAGTTTTGCGACTGGACGGATTTAACGTGCATCATTTACTACACGGGGATCGAACCAACTGCCACTTGGACATGGGCCCAGTGCCCTACCAACCGGACTTTTAACCCTTTATAAGGAGGAAGGAAAGTACTTTCTTTCCATTTCATTAATTTTAAATGTTGACGAGAGCTATTTTCCCCACCTTTGATTTGTACAGTGCGCAAAATAATAATAATAATAATAAAATAAATAAAAATTAAATAAGCAGACCGACTTGAGTAACTGTAATATTCCTTCATGAATATTATGTGGTTGGTTCTCATAAATAACTATCACTTATATAGACAACACTGTTTATTATTAACATATATAAAAATAATATAAAAAGAAAAGGTAAATTAGTGACATGATCTTATCTGACTTCGCAAGTCAGTCACGAGAATGCTTCTCTCCCTCTTTTATTAATTACTTTTTTCGGAGGTGAGTGTGCGAAGCGGCCTCTGGCGAAGATGTCCGCACACTACAGTAACTTTTGTTCTAATGATCGGCTGTTCACGTTCTAGGACTCAATCTTAATGACTCGATAGGATGACCTCAAATTAGCTAATTAATAAGTGCAGACGATATTTTAAGTCACGAAATCAGACATGAAAGAGTACTTTCTCTGAATAAACATAAATTTTTTTCGACGGATTCCAATTTCTTACTCCCAAAATACAAAAGATAGCCGCAATCTAGAAAATATAGAGTTGGGTGAGGAGAGCGCTCCAAAGTTTGAACCACTTAATGTTAATTTTGCTTTCTGAGTAGTTCGCTATCTCTCGAGAACGTTTTTGCACACAATTATAAAATTCGTTAATCTAAAGATAATTCCAAGAAGAAAAAAAAATTAGGTGAATATATATTGTTTTATTCAATAATGGTCGAAACAATTTTGAATAGTAAAGATATACAAATTTTTGCATCATTTTAAAGAATATAATTTTTCAAGGCAAAATACAAAATTTGAGCAAAATCGGTCAGATAGTTCTTGGAAAATCGAATTTGAAATATCTGACTTTTTTGAATTATTTAAATATTTGACTTTCTTATCTATTTTTTGCATGGAATTACACTGCTCTAACTAATTATCTTTGGATCAACGAATTTCATAATTGCTCACAAATTTTTTTTAATTCACTTAAAAAGTTCTCGAGGCAAATTGAGAAAATGTAAATTAACATTAAACGGTCCAAACTTTAGAGGGCTCTCTTGGCCAAACGATTGGGACAATATTTTCCAAATTGCGGCTACCTCCTATATTTTTGGGGTCAGAAATTCGAATCCGTCCAATAAATTTATGTTTATTCTCAGAAAATCCGTCTTGCGTCTGATTTTGTGACTTAAAATATTGTCTGCTCTAACTAATTAGTACATTTGAAGTCATCCCCTCGAGCCAGATTGTGTCCTAGAACGTGAAGATCCGATCATTGGATCAAAAGTTATTCAGGATGGTCCTTTCTCTTTGGCACGCTGTACAACCATCTGCTTAAAAATAAAAGTAGAAATGATGGGCTATCTATTTTACATAAATGTGGGTAACAGCAAAGTTTAGCAGGCAGTTAAGAAGATAGATCAACACCGGGGAGGTTTTTCTCTCTAGTACGGTATGCGTTCGTTTATTTCATTATTTCTTATCGAGTTTATATGTAATTATTAATACATAATTTATAATTTCAGTTATTTTATAAGTACAGAAGTTTAAGTTTATAACCAATTCCTTATGCTATGCAGAATTTGAAAAATTTTACCGCCCTTCTAAGTTTTAAAAAAAAAAAAAAAAAAAAAAAAACCTATAAAGGGTTAATACAACACAAAAAGAATTCCTACGTTACATCTGGCACAATTTTATGGAATTAATATTTATAAGTGAGGTGATAAAAAATATTGATTGTATAAAAAACAAAAATTTAGATAATGTGCGATTGATGTTTATGACTTGTTTAAAAAGTGAAAAAAAAAAGTAAATAAATAAATAAATCTAGATCTTTTTTTTTTTTTTTTTTAAATCAGCTTAATGCAAATTTTGTATTTTTAAGGGTCATTCTCTTGAGCTCTGTACTTTCATCTTCACAAGTTGATTTTTTATGCCAAATGATTATGATAAAAATTGCTTGAAAAAAATACTTTAAATCAAAAAAAAGTTTTTTTTCTATTAATTTAAAATACAGAAACAAGCTGTAAAATTAAGCGGAATATTCAATGATCAAGTTAATTTTTAGTAAAATATGGCTAACATAAATTATATTTTTCCAGATCCCGCTGAAAGCTGCCTAATTATACAAATTAAAAAATCCGGAAACTCATATACGCTCACGCTAGATGATTCTATAAAAAATCATTGTCTTTATTTTTTGCTAGTTTCATTCTACGAAACGTGCATGAAATGAGTCATTAATTTCAAACGATTTTTCATTAAACCTTAAACAACTCAGCAGGATCAAGAAAAATTTGAAATAATAACCACACGAAAAACTTAGCTTTTCCAGTTCATAAATCACTGTATGAAAAGAAAAATCAGTCCTCTGGCTGTGTTTCCGCTTTTTTTTTTATTGCTAAAAGAAAGTAATTTATTTTGTGTCATTTCTCTTTTCACGTACCGCTGCTAACGTTCTTCCTGTCACATAACCGCTCTCATAAAATATTTTCTTTTGTCCAGAAATGCTTCTATACAGGTGTATTAATTTTGCAAAGGAGTATTACAAGTGGACTTGTGACGCCATCTATTGCTTTTAATGCGAAATGATCAATAAGCTTTTCATCTTGCTTGTTCA